AGTACCTGAAAAGGACTAAGGATATGTTCTTAGTTTATGGAGGGAAGATGGCTCACTATAAGAATCCAATATGCTAGTTTCCAAACGGACAAAGTGATTATCGATCGCATCAAGTTTGTATTTTGTCTGAACGGCAGCACAGTGAGCTGGAAGAGCTCAGCAAAGCACTGTAGCGGACTCTACAATGGAGGCTGGTATATACATTATCAGATGCGGCTAAGAGCAGTCTAGATTAGAAGTTCATTACTGAACTTGGTGTGGTCCTATGATTGTTAATCCTATAGACATCTATTGTAACAATAATGAGCAATTGCTCACCGGACCCACGGTCTCATCAAGAAGTCCAGACACATACTCAAATTTTTCCATCTCATCAGAGAGATAGTTAGAGGAAGATGTATAGATTAGTAAAGTGCATACTGACGACAATCTCGCAGATCCATTGACAAAGCCTCTATCGCAGCAGAAGCATGAAAGGCACTTGAGATCTTTGGTTAAATACATGAATGATTGGCTATAGTGCAAGTGGGAGATAGTTAGAGTAGATGCCCTAAAGTCATCAATTATTGTAGAATTGACTCTTTATAATAATGTTCATTAATCAATAAAAGACATTTTATTCTATATCCCGTAAATCATTATATTGCAATATTTTTTGATATATGTCCTTAGAAGTGGTAGAACTGTGACTAGGGTATCAAGTGTTTCAAATCTTGATAGTGAGAACCCTATGAGCACAAATGGTGGCCATTCTAGAAACATCCATAGCCCCAGTATTATTCTGAAGTAAGGACACATATATACGTAAGGCTATCATAGTGTTGAACGACCCTGTCGAAAGGCAGTGACTGATCTCACTTGTCAAGGTTGTTTGGTGACAACCTGGTGCAACACATGGGTGTTTGTTGTAGGCGATTACACCACAGCAAGTTCACTGGACTGACCCACCAGAGGATTCCATATGGATGGTAACCCCAGTGTCTATGGAACAAATCCTCTAACGAATGGTGGTGCATGTGATCCTTAGACTTGAGATCACCGGAGCGCCTTGTGAACTGATTGGTGCAGTTTGACACTAGCCTAACGCAGTTCTATTAAGAGATGTCAATATAGTGGTGATTGACTGCATCAAGGAGTGTATCAAGACTATGGTGGATTGACAGAGGATTCATCACTCCCAAGTACGGGAGAAGTTATCTCACGGCGCAATTTAGTATATGGCAATGACACTAAAACTGTGGCCACAATGGGATTGAGTTGTTGCTCTATCCAGTTTATAATACAAGTCATTGGTCCATAAACTGAATACACAATATCGAGAGTAACCGGAGGTTGACACTATTTCTATACCTTCGTCTCGTAGAGATACAGTATGATGAAAGGATCGAACTGTACGGTAACCATATCGTTGACAGGTAGCTACTTTGCTGAATCCGAATCTATCAAGTGGCCATGATGCCTTGCTAAGGGCCGATCTTGGTCTATGTATTAGTGAGACGACTAATTGGTGTTAATCGCGATACTATACACTGCCAGTACGATGAGGAGCCTATGGGTTACACACATAGAAGATAATTTAAGAGCCAGGAAGATAGAAGGGCATTTTCTTCTTTTTAGGCAAAAGGGTATTTTGGTAATTTCACAGTGCAATTAAATTTGCTGAGGTCGTAGCCTTTATTTAATTTGTTAAAAAAATTAAATAAGTGAAATTACGTTTAAATATGTGTTCGCACATATTTAATTAAATCATCATTATTGTTAAATGTTAATTAAATATTAATTGATTTTTTAATTGAGATAATGATGAAATAAATTAAAATATCTAATTGGGAGTGTTTGGCAACAAAGGGTGTTTGGGTTGGAGCCCAAGCCCATTCCATATGGGAATAGGGTAACTTGGTTTGCCTATAAAAGGAATAGTGTTTGTGTGTTTTGTTGATAAATTAATTTTGCCTTTTTGATTAAAGAAAAAAACACAACACAACCCATTCTCTCTCCCACGCCGACTTTGGTTTGTCCCAAAATCATTGTTTTTCTTCTTGATTTCTTAAGGCCAAGGAGGATCTAGCAAATCCCTCCTTGGTTCCTTGCAATTGTCTTCGTGTGGACTTCTACGGTTCGATCCTACACTTGGATCGGTAGCAAACACATTCAGAGACAATATTGGTGGAGCCTCCAACATGGGTATGAATCTAAACTTAGATTTACTTTTTCTGCAGATTCTTGATGTAAAACATAAACTATAATTTTTATGCCCTGATTTTGGGCTTTAAGGAACGATCCATGGTTGTAAAAAATTTTTTGTTTTCCGCTGCGCAACCGGGTCGTTTCCTAACAATACATCGTTCTCTAAAAGCTGCCAACTCCTCCTCTTGCTCGGCCAACTTCTTCTTCGTCTTAGCCAACTCTACCTCTGCCAACCGCAATTTATAGGTGCTCTCCTTTGCCAACTTTTGGGTGGCAGCCTGCCGCATGTGAAGATTTGTGTTGGACTTGGTATGCTCCAAGATTCGCACCTCTTGGGCCACTACAGCCTTCTTCAAAAATAGGCTCCCACACAAAGCCTGCACATGATCACTCGGTTAGTAAAGTTACAACTTAAGATAAACATAAATTACAACAATCGAGTTGTACTTGAAGTTGTTGTGAGACCTCCCATTCGGCCAAAACTATCACTCCTATCTAAGTCAGTTGAATCTTGTCTGTTGGGAAAAAATGGAGTCTGTCAGGTCCCCCATCTCGGCTACATCAAAATAAAGGGAGGTCGTGATTGGAAGGGTGATGGTTAGCTTATCACCCATTTCATCGATCTAGACATTCTTCGATGACCCGACCCCAGGCAATGTTTGTCTAGTCAATGGAGTCAAGTTGGTCCCCTCTTCTCGAACCTTCTCCTTCGGCACCGACTCTCTCTTCCTTCTTGACGTTGGGTGAATGCCTCACTCACGCTCAAGATGTAGACGTTGATTCCTTTCTTCATTAGCCTCTTTGCAATGGTAAACTCTTCGAGTGTTAGAGGGTGAAGAAATGACTGCCAAAAGAGTAGGTGATTACAATAGCGAATCAGCAGCACGTGCCACACTCGCTTCAACAAGGGGGAAATGATAGCTCTCTGGATAGCCACAATTCTATCTAGGACTGTAAACAAGCCGAGCCGGCTCTCGGTTCGATAAAGGCTCGGTAAGGGCTCGACTCGATAAGGCTCAGTTCGACTCGACTCGAACTCGGTTCGTTAACCGAGTCGAGTTCGAACATAGTAAAGCTCGGCTTGTGGGCTCGCGAGCCTGGCTCGGCTCGTGGGCTCGCGACCCTGGTCCGGCTCGATTAAGCACTGTACACTTCACAGGGTGTTTTGGTGATTTTTTAAACTATTAGGTATTAAACTGATATTTTATAGTGAAAAATGTTTTAAAAAATGACAGTTTCCCCCCCAGTGCAAATTTGAAATAACATGATATTGCAAAACAGAGCCAAACTCAGTTCCTGCCCTAAATCCCAAATCGCCAAGACCCAAATCCCAAATTGCGAACCAGACACTCTAAAAACTGAAATCGGTAATCTCCGTCACCATCTCCGATCTCGGCAACCGGAAAAGGAGGGCCAACACTCTGAAACTTCCAGGTTTGTTTGTTTTATGCTTTATTACAAACTGACATTGTTTTATGGATTTGTCTGGGAGGTTGTAAAGGATGAGAAGATACTGGACGGCTGAGTATGGAAGAAAAGATTAATTTATTTATGCAATAATTTTGTTAAAAGATCATCTCATTCGTGGCCTTAGAAAATTATATCTAAAGACTCTGCGGGACTTTGTGGATATGACACTGATACTGATGAATTCACTTGCTATAATTTTTAAATATTTGACGGAATTCTAGCGACAAATATTTGGGTCTTTGTGTGTTTGGTTTGACAGTGGATAGTCTTTATTCTCTGCATATCAGCCCGTTACTGTAAAAGCTTGGAAATTGTTGTCTAGTGGGGGCAACCTCAAACAATACGTATTAAAAAGACTTGAGTCTCCTTACGCTTTTACGAGTAAGTATAGGTTCACATGACTTTAATTTCCCGCATCTGGCAGTTCAGGTCAGATTTTCGAGCTATTAGAAATGTACCATTAACAGATAATTCACATCCTGGTGAGCCACGGATCATTAAAAGTCTTATGCAAGCCCTCCAGAAATCAGTTGAAATTGCTAGAGTTTGAACCGTTTTGTGTTTAAGGTGTAATAATATGCATCTTGACTCTCTTTTGTCAATACTGTTATTTCTAGCATTATGTATATAATTTTAATTTTCTATGCTTGCTTAAGGCAATAAAACTTTTGTTCCTATATATTTCATTTATATCTGTCTATACATCTATTTTTCTGCTCGACTTTTATCCATTTAAGTAGTTAGATATCTATGGCATTGAATTTCTGCAATAATGGAGATTGCTTAGGGTCTGGAAGCATATATCAATTTATTATTTGTAGGTTTATTTAGCTTCAGTGAGATCTATCCTTTTAGAACATTTTCAGAATGAAATACATTTTTAGTGTCAGTTCTGATTTGAGTGCTCAGCAATAGTGATTTGTAGAATTAAGAGGGTAGTTGTAGCTTACAATGTTCACCAACTTAGCTTTAAAACATATTTGTGCTAACTCATCTTCTAGAAGATAACTTTTGTTTTTCTTTTTTTCCATGTCAACATCTTGATGCATGTGATTGAATATTTTATATTGCACATTTTGAGTGCAATACGCTATGTATAAGAATGTACAAAAAGAGACTTTAAATAGTTGATCAACCTTTTATTGCAAGTAATTAACCTTAGTTAAGGTTCTATTATAATCACTAAAGATATATATATATACAGCACTTGCATAATTGCATTGTCTGAATATATTTTGGGTATATATTTTTGTAAAATGAATATATATTATGTCAATTATATATTATTTTAACTTTATGATATTGTCTAACAATAGTGGTTAATTCATTTTTCAATTATAGGTATGGCATCGGGAGACAGTTCCTCAAGCACCCCTACATTGGATGATGTCGACGATTGTGTTACGGTAAGAGCAGTCGATCGGCGTAACATTTATGGAAGCACAGGTGATACCGAGCAAAGTGTGAGTAGCCCCGAAAATGTTGAGAATGATAATCAACTAGAGAGGAAGAATATAGCGAAGACATCATTTGTGTGGTCAGAATTTACAGAGGTGGTTCTCCCTGGTGGTATAAGGAAGGGAGAGTGTATTCATTGTAAAACAAAGTTGAAAATCACTGCCAGTGGAAGCACAACACAATTCAACAGACATTTGAAAAGGTGTGCGAAGAGAACAGCTCACTTAAGGCAACAACAAATAAATTTCCCCCCTTCCAATTCTCAAGGTGGCTCTAATGTCTTGCCTACTCTACGGGGCCAATTCAGTATGCTGAAGATGAGGGAGTTTATTGCACATTGGGTGCTGATGCATGAGCATCCATTTTCTATTATGGAGGAAGAGGGGTTGAACAACATGATGAAGTACGGGATTCCTGAATGGACTCCGATATCCAGTAATACTTGTAAGAATGATTGTATGAAAGTGTTTGAAAGTGAGAGATAGAAGTTGCTGACCCAATTGAAGGGTGTTAGGAAGATAAGTCTGACCACAGATCTATGGCATTCAGGCAACCAGAGGATGGAATACATGGTTTTGACTGGGCATTGGATTGATGATCATTGGAAGTTTAATAGACGGGTGTTAAACTTTATTCATTTCCCTTCTCCCCGTTCTAGTGTTGCCATTGCTGATGCAATTTTCAAGTGTTTAATGGACTGGGGAATTGAAGCTAAGGTCCATACGATATCGGTGGATAATGCTTCAAGCAATGATGTTGCAGTAAAAGTGTTGAAAGATAATTTCCAAGTTATAGGGAAGCTCATATGTGGTGGCAAGATGTTTCATGTGAGGTGTTGTGCACATATCTTGAACCTGGTTGTTCAAGATGGTCTTTATCATATTATACATATTATTGAGGACATCTGTTATACTGTGTCGTATATCAATTCATCGGAGAGTAGACTAAAGGTGTTTGCAGAGATTGTTCAACAGCGCCGATTGCCATTTCGCAAACTTATTCTTGATTGCAAAACGCGATGGAATTCAACATATGATATGTTGACAACAGCAATGCAATTTAGGCGTGTTTTCCCTTGTTTGAAGGAGAGGGATTTGAGTTTTCATTATTGTCCCAAGGAGGAAGATTGGGATAAAGTTTAGAAAATTTGTCCTATTTTGAAGGTGTTTAGTGTTGCGTCGAATCTGATATCTGGGAGTGATTATCCGACATCAAACTTGTTTCTAAAACAAGTTTGTACAATAAAAATTATGTTGGATAGTAAGAGTCGGGATGGAGATCAGTTTATACAGACCATGATTTGGAAAATGAAAGAAAAGTTTGACAAATATTGGGGAGAATGTAATCTATTGATGGGTGTGGCTGCTATTTTGGACCCCAGATTGAAGATTAGGGTAATTGAATGGGCGTTCCCTAAGATGTATTCTCAGGCTGAATTGCGGGCAAATATGGATGTTGTTCGAGATGCCTTGTATGAGGTATATAGGGAGTATGTTTATGCCAGTAAAGCATCGACAGTTGCCTACGCTTCTGCATCGACAGGGGGTGCAATTCAGGAGGTTGGTGAGGGGTCAGGGGCAGCGGCAGAGATGGCAAAAAATTGGGATGATTTTAGTGAGTATCTGGATGGGGTTGAGACGGTTGAGCCAACGAAATCAGAGTTAGACTGTTACCTGGGAGAGGGATGCCATAAATGTGTTGGGGACGCTACGACATTTGATGCTTTGACCTGGTGGAAGGCTAACTCAACAAAGTTCCCTATCTTGTCTACCATGGCTCGAGACATATTAGCCATTCCTATTACTACGGTTGCTTCTGAGTCTACTTTCAGCGCCGGCAGTAGGGTTATTGACACGTACCGATCGTCGTTGGCTCCCAACATGGTGGAGATGCTCTTATGTGGATGTGACTGGAGCAGGACATTGAATGGGGTGAAGAAAGGATGTAAAGTAGGTTACATACTTATATTGAATATTGTTTTTATTAAATTTAGTTATTACTTTATATTTATACTAACTAAACTTAAAATACTCCTCCTTTGTCATTTTCAGGAAGAGCAGCAACCGTTGGAGATCAGCCTTCCTATCCCGTAAGTTTCTGGGATTCAGAGCATGGTTTGACTGTGGTAGGAGGCATGCATAGGTAAAACTTTTATTCCTTTTGCTTTTGTTTCATGATTATACATATTTTTTTCTTGTCATAGTTATCTTAAAAAATACTTATTAAATTGAACATTTTCTAGAGGCAGGGGGAAATTTTGGTTTTCATCTAACTTATGCCTACTTTAGTCCTACTGGTGGATAGTGATTTTGATTGGTGGATTGTATATGTACTCCTAAGAATGTTATTTGTATATATTCAGAACTGTTTTTTGATTTTGTAAGGTAATAGACTTTTTGTAATGCTCAGAACTGTCATGGTTAATTCAACATTAGATGTTAATATGAAATGTTGTACGCAGGCAGATTGCTATAAAAAAGGGGAACTTGGCTTGATCAAACCCGGATAAATGGTGGTTTGATCGAGCCTTATCGAGCCGGCTCGAACTCGACTCGAGCTCGACCGAGCTCGAGCTCGAGCTCAAGTCTCAATTTTGAGGCTCGTCAGGCTCGAGCTCGACACTGTTGTAAACGAGCCGAGCTCGATAAGCCAAAAGCTCGGCTCGGCTCGGCTCGTTTACACCCCTAATTCTATCCCAAAAATGAATCGCCCTTAGGTTTTCCTCTTGTAACACCACCCTCCAATCTCGCTTCTACTTTAGTAGGGAGAGAACCTTCCTAGTGGTTTTGTCCAATTCGTCACCACTCTGCCCAACTCGGTTGAACGACAGATCTACAAAAGGCATGGAAAATAAGACTTAGTCATTAAAGCTCAAAGACAAGCTAAAAATTACTCACCCCTAGCTCTCTAGGTAGACGGTATGTCGCCCTGCCCTTTCTCACCAAAGACCCCTTCGCCCTTCAGAAAGAAAAAGTTCTCCTTCCATTTCTTATCAGTTAACCTGAGACACGTCACCAGGTGAATCCGATCATGTCTCATGGTGATGGCATACCTCCCCTTGTCCTTGTCATGCTCCTTCAAGTAGTAGGAGTAGAGGAGTCCATGCAGCCTAAACCCCAATCAGTTCATGGTATAAAAGAGCTCCAATGCCATCAACAATCTTCACCCATTTGGCATGAGCTGGGTCGACATGATCATGAAGTTGTCCAACAACTCCAAGACTAGTCGAGGGAATGGGTAGCTGTAACTCATAGTAAACATTTATCTCATACATGCTCACCTAGCCGGGCATGTCTCAGTCTACCCTATTAGTGTAGGTATCATATGATAATCCTATTTTTCATAATGATTTTGTATAGAATTTCAATAGGATTTAGGATACTTCTCGTACAATTTGGGCCATCATTGCTACTTAATTCTATTAATTTTACTTTGCAAGCCTAAATGATGATTTTGAGCCTAAATGATGGTGTTGAGCATAAATTGTGTAACTTGAGGCATGGACCTCAGATTGGGATGATTCTTGAATGAATAGAAACATAATTGAAAGGTCTACAGTTCTTATGTTTACCATTTTTTTCATATTTAGATGTTACCATTCTCAAATTTGACCCGAAAGTTTTTCACCACAGCAAAGAAAAAGTTTCGCCGCGGTGAAACTGCGTCAAATGCGAAAAAAATAAAATGACACGTTTTGGCTTGCTTGGGCTTCATCCTTAAGTGAGAGGTAAAAATTTACATGAAACGGAAGAGAAAAGAGTCTTGGTTCGTCATTTGGGAGGCAGCTCTTGGAAGGAGAAGATTATTGAAGATTTGGGCTTCAAATTAGAGAAGATTTCTCCATCTTTTGCTTGTTTTTCAATGATGAACCTTGATTCAACTTGTTTTTGTTATTATTATTATTTTATTTTTATTTTTTTAGTATGAACTGAGTTGTTTAGCTAGGGTTTGATGTAACCTTGATACTGTAGTAAATCGATGAGTAGAAGCAATGAAAAAACAAAAATTATTGCCCATCGATTACTTTGATTTCGCCAAGATCATATATATATATATATATTACATGCTTAAATTGAAATAATAAAGATCCATGCAAAGATGCAAAGATTAGATTATACCAGCGTTTGGAGGCTTCGTCAATATCTCTGAACGAGATTTCGCTACCGATTCAAAAATGGAATCGAACTCACGTTGTCTACACAAAGGCAGTACGTCAGAGACCATGAATTGATTTTGCTAGAATCAATTCTTGGCTTTAAGGAATCAAGTATTTGGAAGGATAAAGTGAAGAGAAGAAGAGAGAAAATTTTCTCTCAAAACACTCACCCACGGCTCAAATGAGACTTAGGTCAGAAAACCTAAATTTTCTTTACTTATATAATAAGTAAAATATCCATTCCACCCCTCAAATTTAGCATCAGCCAAACATTAGGTAGAATTGCATATTAACCCTTATTTAATTATTTAGTTAAATATTAATATTAACTCCAATAATTAAATTTGTAATTTTTCTAAATTACTCCAATAATAAAATTGGACACAAGCTACAAGCTCAATAAATTTAATTACATAGCAAAATTACTAATATGCCCTTTCGTCTAAAAGAAGAATATGCCCTTCCAAAGTTTACCATCCTTAAACTGTCTCCTAAATGTGTGACCCGTAGGCTTCTCGTCATACCGGCAGTGAGTAGTATTACGATTGACACCAATCAATCGTCTCATTACACACAGACCAAGATTGTTCCTTAGCAAGGCATCATGGCCACCCGATAGATTCAGATTCAGTGAAACATACCTATCAACGATATGGTTATCATGCAATCAAATCCTTTCATCATCTGTTATCTCATTAAGACCGAGGTACAGAAATAGTGTCAACCTTAGTTATTCTCAATGTCTTTGTATTCAGTTACTGGACCAATGACCGGAATAATAAATTGGATTGGGCAACAACTCAATCCCACTATGGCCACAGATTTAGTGTCATTATCATTTACTGAATTGCATCGTGAGATAACTTCTCCCGTACCCGGGAGTGATGAATCCTCTGTCGATCCACCATAGTCTTGATACACTTCTCAATGTAGCCAATCACTACCATATTGATAGCTCTAAATAGTACTACATTAGACTAGTGTCAAACTACACCAATTGGTGCACAAGGCGCTCCGGTAATCTCAAGTCTAAGGATCACATGCACCACCATTCGTTAGAGGATTTGTTCCATAGGCACTAGGGTTACCATCTATATGAAATCCTCTGGTGGGTTAGTCCAATGAACTTGCCTACAACAAGCACACATGTGTTGTACTAGGTTGTCGGTAAACAACTTTGACAAGTGAGATTAGTCACTGCCTTTCGACAAGGTCGTTCAACACTATGATAGCCTTATTGTATTATATGTGTCCTTGGTTAGAATAATACTGGGGCTACGGACATTTCTAGAATGGCCACAATATGTGATCATAGGGTTCTCACTATCAAGATTTGCAACACTTGATACCCTCGTCACGGTTCTACCATCCTAAGGACATATATCAGTACATACAATTATGATTTACATGATATAGCAGAAAATGCCTTTTATTGATTAATAAACATTATTGTAGAGGGTCAATTCCACAATAATTGATTGGCTCTAAGGCACCTACTCTAACAGATAAAATGATTCAAATTTATTTGAATTGATTTACATTGAGTTTTAATTTCATGATTGAGTGTTTATCTCTTTGCTTAATGACTTTTGGATGCTTGATCACCATTCAAATATGTGTTGTTCACAATGAGACTAAGAATGATTTGTGATATGTGCCTTTTTGGGATAAATACCATAGATTGAGCGAAAAACTAGAGATAGATAAACACGATCTATGAAATCTAGATAGAATTCCACAAAGCTTAAGAGACCTTGAACTATTAAACTTCAATTTTTGGGTTTGGAAGGTTAATAGGAATAGGTGGGGTGGTATAACCTGAGAAGGAGTACCAAACAACTTAGGGAATTCGATTTTCAATCAAGGAATAAGAACTTGGGTAATAGATTCTATGAATTGGGTTTGCGTATCTAGGTGAGATCAACACCCAAGCATTTTTTTAGTACTATTTGATTTGTTTGGATTTTAGGTTTTGTATTTAATTTA